GCAGCAATGGAGCATCCCCTTTGGGCTGCAGAGCTTTGTTCTGCCACCCCAAGCTCCTGCCCAAGGTGAGGAGGTGGCACATGTATGGCACTGGAGCAAGGACGAAGCCTCAGCTCCTTGCACAAAGCAGATGAGAGCACACAGCAAAGGGACCCAGCCCTGCAGTGCTCTTGGTGTCCCCCAGACCTGCTGCTGTAGATTCCCATCCCTGCAATGAATGTCAGCTGCTTCTCAGCCATGCAGACCAACAAAGCAGCCCCATTCTGCTCACCTCCATCATCCTATATCACTTTTCTCACTTCCATCCTCAGCCCACAGCCAAGGTTACTTCTGTCTGGAACTATTTATGAATTCAAGCAGGAAACTCCTCCAGCTCCCTAAGCACCTGCTTCACTCTCCCTCCCAATATACACACACACACATTGTCAACAAGAGAAGTAAAAATTAAACACAGACTAAGTGGAGTCAGAGCTACAGGAAGCTGCAAGATGATAGGGCTCAGATTTGGGACCAGGTATCTACAGCACTAGAGATCCAGAGCTCTGCTAACAGCGATATTAAATACGTTAAAAGCTCTATGAAGCCTCCTGCTGCAGATTTAAGCTGCTCTGAACCTCAGCAATGGCAGGGGATGCTCAGCAGTATACCAGCACTTCTGTCCCATCACACATCGGACACAGCCTACTACACTGGGTGGAGCTGAGAGCAAAAGGCAAAATTGGAGGCACTGAACAAGACAAAGTCCTATTTCTAGGGCAACCAGGAATAGCTGCATACCATAGGATGCAGCTCCACTGGAGAGAGCTGGCCACACAATGAGCTATTTCCTCCTTCCGAGGCCTTTTTCTGGATACAAGCTGCTTTAAAAAGCATCACGTATGCAGGTTTAGATTCAATTCATCCTGCCTCAAGGAACCGTGCAGCACTACATCCCCGACAAAAAGTCCTCCCAGCCCAGTTTTCCCTCAGTTCTAGCCCTGAATCTGCCTGAGAACTGACACAGAGCTGTCACTGCTCTGCCCCTGCCCCCTTCCCAGCTCCGAGCACCGCACTGAAGCGGCCACAACTTCCATTAGTTCACCCATGCCTGCTATTTGTGTGTCGTGCTCTTGTAACAGGAGGTGGCTGTGATTCACTCGCTCGGTTTGTTTGGTTTGTTTCTTCTTTTTCAATCTGTGCAAAGCAAGAAATATTTTCAACCAACACTTCATGATAACCAGCAGCGAAACCCTGCAAAAGTGAACCGTCTGCAGAAGGAAACGGCACTGCTGGGAAAGCAAGCAGCTTCTCCCATGGAATTGCTGATGCTCTGAGAGCTGCATGTGGAACTGCCCCACGAGATGCTTCATTCACACCCTTGGGACTGTGGTACCCATGAAAATCAGTGCCACTGCCAGTTGTGGAGAGACACCAGCACCTCTCATTGTGCTTCCCCACCACCACACCGTTTCTCGGCGCCGTGAAGAGGCAGCTGAACTCATCAAAGCCCAGAGGTTCCCAAAGGGAATTTTTCTGGCATCACCACTTCTGCTCTTCCACCCCCCGCCCCCCAGAGCCAGTTTACACATTTAGGGCAGCCAAGGGTCAAGTGTATAATCTTTCTCTTCCCCTGCAAATTGCACTCATCTCTTCTGAGATGCACGCTGACTCAGAAGTGGTCCCTCCAGCTCTCATCCCCCGTTAGCCCCACCCGTCAGTCATAGGGGAATAATTAAACTGTCAGGCTCTGTCCTAACCCAAGGTGAGCCAGAAAAGGGCTGCGAGTTCGTCTCTGGTCCAAACACACATGGATAAACTGGGACAAGAGAGCCTTATGAGTGACAGCGATTAAAAACTGCCCCTGCACCATAAAAGCCACGGTGATAAGAGCTATCCAAGCCTGCCCTCAGGCTCCTCACTGTCTCCCAATGCTCAGTGACTTTCCGGTCATGAGACAGCCAATGTGGGATGCCACCCTCCTGCTCCACACAGGGACTGTCACCCCAACAAAGCTCAGTGTGGGAATGGCAGGCACCTTTACAAAGCAGAGCCCAGCTGGCCAGTGCTTGGGTAGAATAGGAAGAACAAATCAAGGAGAGATAAAGGAGAACACAGCATACAAGGTTGATATGCTTGTCTCCACACTAGCCCAGGCTTCCCCCTGCAAGCCACAACAAACAGCGAATTCATCCTTTGCCACAGTCCCCATGCTTTGCCACAGTCCCCATGCTTTGCCACAGTCCTTCTCAGGACAGCAGGGAGAGAAATAACCAAGAGAGAACCCAGGTCATCTGATGCAGGAAGGAGAAGGGGCAAGGTCCTCATCACTGAAAAGGATCTTAAGCACTCTGGACGTGACCAGAGGTCAAGAGCTGAGCTCAGCCCTTTGCTCTGCCCTTTCTCTAAGGGGAAGAAAGCCTGCAGAGTCAGATGTGCTTCCAAATAACTGCTTATCCAGCATCACACAAGAGGCAGCCAGCCGTGCAAGGGGAGCTCCTGGGATCCCTCCAGCTGCCTCTGGTGCTACATAGTGCAGCTTGGGAACAACGTGTCCACCCTCACCCCGTCCTGCACTGCATTATGGAATCCGGGATGCACAATAAAAGCAGAGCAGTTGCCCTGTTTGAGGCCTCAGGACTGGATTTACACACACTGTGCTCACAGAGAGGAAAAAAGCAGACCTGCAGAACACTTTGTTCCAGCCACAGCCCAGTGCTGCAAGTCCAAGCCCCTAGGACTGCAAAATCACTTAAAGCCAGGCAGCTCCCGACACCGATGCTATTTCTTTGTCTCCACATCAGAGCTCTGGATTGTGCCACTGAAGCCAGCAGCCTTTTTTCTGCTGATAGCGCACAATGTCACCTCACCTATCTCTCACTAAGGCAATCGGACATCCGAGAGCCATGGGGGGAAACAGCAAAGCAGTTTTGCCACCCGCAGCGAGGTCAGGGCTCACTCCACATTGGGTGGGGGGTGTCAACAAGGGCAGCAATGCAGGGGCTGAGAGATGAAAGGGTGGCAGTGGGAGAAGCTGCTGCCTGACTCTCCCTCCTCTCCTCCAGGGCTGCAGCCTGAGGAGGGATGCTGCACACTTACCTTCCCCTCCTGGAGGGAATTTCTCCATTCTCCTGCAGTGCTGTAAGATCTCTAGGTGTCTTTGAAGCTGTTACACCTGGTGCTAGCGATGGGCTGCAGCGTGCAAGAAATTTAATGAGGTGAAGAGCCGGCAGCTCCTGCACAGCCCAGGGCTGTGGCTGCATGCTGCACCACGAGCCTGACCATCGCTCCATTCCTCTCCATCCAGAGCTGGAAACAAAACCCTGCAAGCACATCACTGTGAGGCACTGCTCCGTGTGCTGACCTGCAGGTTACTCACACTGCAGAAGCTGTATTTGCCTTTTGCTGTGCTCGAAATCATAGAAAGGCCTGGGTTGAAAAGGATCACAACGATCATCTAGTTTCAACCCCCCTGCTAGGGGCAGGGTCACCAACTACCAGACCAGGCTGCCCAGAGCCACATCCAGCCACTGGAGCACCAGGAAAGTTGAAGAGGGCTGAGTGCTGCCTGCTACACCCCCTCCCCCATTCACCCCCTCACTCACATCTCAGCCTCAGCCCAAGCAGAACTCACTTCTCAAAGGGCAGGGGTCATGCTGGGCAATGCAGGCTGTGCAGTAGGACATAGGACAGCCTCGTGATGAGCCTGCCTGCACGACTCCCTCCCTGCAATTATGGCTTTTTCTCAAAAAATCAAATCAGGAAAGAGATAAGCACAAGCTGATCCCCCTCTCAGCGATGCATCCTAGCACTAATTGGCTTTGGTGCTTCTCAGTGACAGATCCTCGCTGTTTAATGTTAAGAAAAGCCACCATCTGACACAGATGCACTGAAAGGCCAAATGACTGTACTGCATGTGTGCATTGAGCACACAGAACGGGTGGAAATTCAACAACTCAAGCCTGCTCCTCCTGCTCAGTGCAGGTCTATTCCAGGACACGCGCTGCCATCACACCACGCACCAGCAGCACAACTTTCTCTCTTCCTTTTAATAGGAAAGGAGAAGCTTCTACCCTGAAAAGCACGACCCCATCCCACACCTTCCTTCTCACTGTTGCACCAATATCTGAGCCGTTTCATTTGCCAGGGGATAAAGTTAGCAACGCATCATTAATTTTATAATAGCAACTCTCAGCCATTCTCCTTGCCAACCCTCGGCTTGGCAGCATGCTACTCCGGTCACACAGCCATCACCCTTCCCTCTGCTGCTGTCCCTCATCTCCAAGCAGCGAGGGGCCCAAAGAACAACAGATGGTGCGGAATAAAGCAGGGAAATTCACGTCCTCTGAAGTTGTCGGCACAGAGGAGCTGCTGTACTGCAGAGCAGCGCGGGATCTGCAGCTCGGCGGAGCCCCGGGGTTACACAAACACTTTAACCACTGGGGTCTTTTGTTAACGGAGGGGATGCTTCAAAGAAGCATGGGAAGGCACATGATAGAACCAGTAAGCCTTACTCCACTCTTCCCAACCCACGGATGTCAGGCTGAGCTTTCCACGCCAGCCTCCTCCTCCAGAGCAGCCCTTTGTTCAGTTTCAGCTCAGATTCTGTCTGCTAAACCCTGGGCCACTGCAGCAGCGCGCATTTCCCTCGGAGAACAGTTACGCCGTATAAACACTGAGGCTGAGAAGCCATGTGCAGCTAAGTACATCAGGTTCATTAGCAAATTAACTGCTCTATGCAAATGCACTTCTGCATTTCTCCCCGTGAGTTACAGCATACTGTTTCAGGAGGCAGCTTGTTGGGTTAACACAGCCACATCGGTGGAAGACGCTTTCAGAATGCAAAAAGAATTCGGAAGGAAGAAGGCTCTAAAAATTCAATGAGAGCTATCAAGGTCACCAGAAGCCTCTCCAGAGATCACAGAGCTTGGGCTCGATTTAATGAGAGCCACAAAGTCTCCTTGAAGAGACAGAAGAAATAAGAGAGGGGTAAGGCAGCAGTGCGGGGAGCAGCCTGTACTCACCTCGGGGACTGACGACGATCCTGGGGTTCACCTTGGAGCGCCCTGCTGCCCGCACAGCCAGCTGGCAGGCACCCAGGGCCACCAGGAGGGCGAGCAGGGACCTGCTGCCCATTGCCGGTGCTGCAGAGAGCCCAGATCCTCAGGCAGTGCGGCTGGCAGCCGCATTGCTTGCCTTATACACAGGGCCAATAAGAAGTGAAGGCGGAGTCTTCTCAACCGACACTCCCCATGCCTTTTAATGGGTTTTGTTGGGTTTTTTTTTTTTCTCCCTTCTCCTTTTTCCTCCATTCCAACTTCTCCAAATGAAAGGTAGGCATCTGATGGCTTCATTCATCTCCATGCAAAAAGCTGGCCCGAGGCTCGCAGTGAACCTGCTGAAGGATGAAGGAGGAACGCTTTGCCTGGTGTAAATCAAAATGAAAACGCGCCTGCTTGTACAAAAACACAAGCAGACCAAGGAGGGCAAAGACTTCTCAGCAGCACTTCTTGCTCCCATGGAAGCTGCACTCTGCCAACCACAGCAAGAGCAGCGCACTGCAGAGCTCTGCCATTGGGAGACACAGCAAGGCTGCAGCAAATATTATATGCCCTCCCCACCGGGACATCACAGCATAGGGGCCACTTCTAATCATACACCAAGTGACCAGACAAAGAGTCTGGTGCTCTTCCTGACACAGATTCCTGTGGTATGACAGCTCAAGGTTGCTTAGTCTTACTCGCCAGACCAGTCTGACTGTCATTTGCAATCATATGGGTAAGAATGCAATCAGAGCTAGCTTGTAACATCCACTCAGAGCTATGGTTGCAACCCTGAGACACACATCTCATGGAAGGCAGGGATGCTAAGCAAACCCACCCCAGATGCTAAGCAAACCCACCCCGCAGGGCTGTGGCACGATGCTCACAAAGTCACTTTGCTTCAACACAGCCCTGCTCTCCATCGGGGGAGGCCAGGAAGGGCTGGAGCCTTTGTGAAGTGCTGTGAGGTTTGTTAATGAGAAGAGCAGGGAATCACACGCAAGGAAAAGCGAGGTCGGACGTGAGCAGAATAGGAGAGCCGCATCGGGAGCTCACAAGGACAAGAGGGGCAGCTGCGCTCTTCAAAAGTTAGCATTGAAGCCCCAAGGAGATGAAGCAGCACCGGAGGAAGCAAAAAATATATATATATTAACGAGTGGACTGCTTGTGAATGTTAAGGAGCTGCAGGAATTCCCCACCAACCCCAAGCACGGGGTTTCATCTCTCTCTGTCACCAAAGACGTGCTTGGGTAATGACTGGGTGACATACAGATCATCTCTGGTTTCTCCGTTTCGGACACGGGGATTCCTGCCCTTTTTGGATCACTGCTCACCTCAATGCAGCCACTGCTTCCCCACAGAGGAGATTATTTCCCTACCTGCACCGGTGACCTCAGTAACCCTGTAAATCATTTGCCTCCGGGCGGCATAGATCAGAGAAGAATGCGTAGTCCATTAAAGCCCTTTCACACAGCCAGGAGTGAAAAAGAAACGTCAGGGCATCATTCCTCAGCCAACAACCAAAGCCACGCTACCCATGTGAACTCCTTAATAAGCAGAGATGCAACATTGTGCACCTGCCCCAAATTTAGGCTACCCTATTAAAGTTGCATACGTTATTATCTGCTTTGTCTTTTACAGTCGCACACAGTTGGTGGGCTGGGAAACTGGTGCTGAGCTCTTGATAAAGTGACCCAGTGGTTCTGATCAGAGATCAACTGGGAGAGCTTCTGCCTTATTAAAACTGTAATTCCTTCTGTTTTTCTCATCTTCCCTGCTCCTAACACAGCTTACCCTGCACTGTTAGCTTATCTTTATTTCCACCTACAGCTAAAGACAATGCTTTTGTATGTAATGTTCAGCTTTAAACTCCCTCAGGAGCCTGGAAGCATTCAGTTCAGGGTCCCACTCCATTTCCTGCCCTGTGAACGTGATCATGCTGTGGTCCTGGATTCAGACTGATGCTACTGCACCCATGCTATGCAGGAGACTCAGCAGACAGTTTGCAGAGCATTACTTTCCCAAGCACCCCTGTACTGTACCTGTTCCACCAGGGTTTCCTGCCTGGAGATGGGAGAAGGCTGAAAAACCCCAAATGAAAGGACCCTGGGGGTAGACTCCACCAGTTCCAAATGCTTAGCTGACAGTGCCAGCAGTCAGCACTGCCGTGCACCTGGGCTCCAGGAGATCACACACCATTAAATAAAGAGTGCTGAGAGGCCTCTGCAGGTCAGCTCATCAAAGGAGCCCACAGCAAAGGAGAAAAGTGGTGGAACACAAGCATGCTGCGTGCTTAAGGTTCAACAAGGAGCAGCCAAGCTTGAAGATGTACAAGAAGGATTGCAAAGCTGACATTAAGGTTGTTCCAGCCCTGCATCGGTTTGCAAGGAGTGCTGAGCACAGAGCTGTGCCCTGAATACAGCCACAACTGCTCTGTGTTAAACATGCGTGCACACACCCCAAAGCAGACAAGCATCTCTGCACATTTGTTTATGTGGGACCTTCTCTAAACCAGCTCAGCCACACGCTGCTTCCAGAATGCATAAACAAGAGATCAGATTCCAGGTACACACTCCTTCCCCTCAGCTCCCTCCTATTCTGCCAGATCACAGTGCTCAGATCCTAAATAGATCAGAAGGGAGCTTCCCTGAAGAACCCCGTGAAAACCAGAAAGCAGGTTTTCCTCAGCAGGATCAATTTTATTCAGTAGCTGAGATAGGATGCCTGGGCCACAAGCATCCAAAGCAATCTGTTATGAAACCTCTCAGTTTTAGTTGGCATCTCATCAGGCCCATTAGAGGAGAGGAGGTATGCTGGAACACTATGCACAAGAACTCAGTAACAGTCTTCAGCATGACCCCACAAACAGACTCTAGGTGAAGTGGGTTAGGATGCAGGCAATATCTTCCACAGAAAATCTTGCAATCGTGTGAGAAACCAGTGTAAGCATTACTTGAACACTCTTATCCTTGTGAAAGATATGTAAGATCTTCTCTCTGCTGTGTCACCTCTTCTAGAAACCTAACAGCTGCATCTCTATCTCTGGCAGTTATCAGCCATGGCACCTTCAGAAAAGTACAAAGAAGGACCTTTTTGAACGTGGCACAAAGGGCTGAGGATGCTCACCAGGACTGTCAGTGCACGTGCATTTCCACAACCCCTCCCTGGATGACAGCCTGTGTGTTTTGGCACAGAGACCCTGCTGCAAAACAGACTGACAGCCCACGACATTGGGACACAATGTGAATTACCACTGTGGAACCTTGGAAGGCCAGAGCTGCTCTTTCTTACCTTCTGCATTTTTCCTTTGGGAGCAGGTAGTCATAAGCATGGAATTTGAGAAACAGGGAGCAGTGCTGATCTACGTACCTTTCAGTTCTCAGACCAACTGAGGTTGAAAGGAAGCAATTAATCACTTAACAGTAAGCTGCCACCTTCCAATTTCAACACATTCTCCCCCTCCCACCCTCACATTCATTGCATTGTGGTGGTCACCAATGGGGCAACCTTCTAAAGCTGCAGCCCTGACAAGGCTGCCATCGCTTCACCCTCTCAGGCACACTGCTTTCACAACAAGCCCACCTCCATCAGCTCTTTAAGCTGGCCCAGATCAGGGGGCTGATCAGTTGGTAAACCCCCTGCTCTCAGTTAAAGAGAAGCTCTCACATGCCAAATGCCACCCCTCAGGACTTTGAAATCAGCCAGAGAAGCAATGGTGTTCCCCAGGACATTTTTACTATACCTACTTCCTTTACTTGCCAAGGGAAGCTTGCAGCACAGCAGTGCCCCTTTGCTGGGATGTGCCTTCCCTTTTGCAGCACAGGTTTCCTCACTGAGGAAATCCCAGTGGCTCACCTCGGCAGAACACCCCATGCCAAATGCTTCGTGATGCTGTTTGCTGATCCCAAGGTCCTGCCTCAGCTAATCCCAAAGCACAGCTCGGTCTGAAAGGCACACGCTTGTCAGGCAGCTGTGTTATAACTGACTGGCAGCCACATCAACAAGCAGTGCTGTTGATAAGCAGCACAGTAAGCAGTCGCTGACAGGGCAGAAAAGGAAGCAGGATGAGATACACATCTCATGCACAGATTACCAAGATTGTCCATACCCCTCAGACATGGATTTCAGCAATTAATAAAACCCTCAAGAGTGATTCAGTTGGAAGGCATCTTCAAAGATGAAATCCAACAGCCTAACTTTTGGGCTAACCAAAAGTTAAAATATATTATTGAGGGCATCACCCAAATGCCTCTTGAACACTGACAGGCACAGGGCATCAATCACCTCCCTAGGATGCCTGTTCCAGTGTTTCACAGCCCACATGGTCCAGAAATCTCCCTTAATGCCCAGACTGAACCTCCCCAGTGCAGCTGTGTGCCATTCTTACACACACAGTGACCTCACCACTTATATCCCCTTCTAAGGAATATGAAGAGGACAAAGAGGTCACCTCTAAGCCTCTTTTTCTCCAAACCAGGCAATCTAGGCGCCCTCAGGTCCTACCCACATCCTTCTACCCACTGTGTTGTCCTCCTCTGGATGCTTTCAAGTACCTCAACATCCTCTTTACATTGTGAAGCACAGAACTGTACACAATATGCAAGGTGAGGTCACACTAAACATCAAATACAGGAGAGAGTCACCTCTTTTGACACAATGCGCAGCCCTTCCCATTTGGAAGGAAATGCAAACAAAAAATAAGTTGCTTCGTTGAGGTTGCTCTGCTTCCACCATAAAAGCAGCACATTGAAATATTAATGGCACACAGTGCATCAGCTCTGCCTTCTCAGAAGGGCCTCGACAGCCACACTGCTTGGCTTACCTGGAACTCTTGGTGTTTCTGTTCCTGAACACCGTGCTCTGCTTCCCGGCATGGCCTGGATTTCTGCTCAGTGGTGCCACTCATCTCCTGCAGGAATGGCTGTGTTTCAGCAGTTGGCAAGCAATTCCCAGTCCTGCTTCAAAGCAGGGTCACTCGACACCCTATATATAAACTTACCAGAGAGCTTTATCAGCCCTGTTAAACCCACAACATCTTCTACTTATGAATAGAAGTTAAGGTTCCTGCCTTGCAATCTGCTCTCCCAGCCCCTGCCATAATATGCTTTTAAGCCTACATTTTTCATTTATACATGGGGAAATCAGTGTAAGTTCACCTGGCCTTCAAGAAATCACTTCAAACTACAGCTGGAAAAACACCAACAGTGTTGACTAGGAATGCAGGAAATGCGGAGGCTGCTTAGAAAAGATATTAAGTTGACCTTCTGGTTTTCAAGTACTTCTAAACACTGATTTCTGCCTTGCCAGAGATGGAAAGATCTCTAAGATGTTCTACTGCCTGATCCTCCTTCCTATCTTGGCCCAGGGCTGTCTAGCAGAGGCCAAGTGACGCAGAAGGTAAGTGTCAGCTCTAAATTCAGAGCCTGTCTGGTGGCACGAAGGCTCTGTTTCCCCAGACATAGGAAATCTGCCATCCCTTCCAGCAGGAGAGTGGGAGCAGCTTGGGATCCCACCACATGCTTGACCTGCCTGACTTGCCAAAAGCGACCCGTCAAAATCTGTCAAAGGGAAAAGTGCCTCTTGTCTTCCTGCTTCCCATCTGCCCCACCTCATAGAGAATTTTTTATCACCTGCATCCTGGTAATTGCATCCCCACCACGTTTCCACCCAGCTCATTTGGGAAAAGCAACTGCAGGAAGTTGTAAGCAGCAGCAAGTCACAGACATTGGGGGAGGAAGGAAGGGAAGAGCAAGAAAATGAGGTGGAGGAAGAATAAACGGACGTGAATTGCCCAGCCAGACAGCAGCTGACAGGATCCACAGGATGACTGAGTTAGGCATAACTGCATATTCTTTGGGAGGCAATTCTGAAACGTTTCATCACAGGGAGCTGCACCTCAGCAAGGAATACACCAGAGCAGGATGGCCAGCACTCCTCCCCTTCCCTGAAACTGGGCTGTGTGCAAATAACCCAATTAGCACAGTGGTAAACAGTTTGGAGGCTGCTCTGTGGGATGCCAAGGTGGCATGCTGAGCACTGCTGAGAGATTACAGAGCTCTGCTGTCACTAGCAAGAGTTTCTGCTTTGGAGATTAAATACCCATTTTCTTCCTGGCTGCCCAGCTCTCACCTGTTGCCACTCCAGTGACCACAGTTTACAAACTAGAATAAAATAAGCCTGGTGGGATCTGTTAACGACTTACACCCCACTTCTGGCTCTGAACCTCCCTGACCCTCAGATCAACTAGAAAAATCTACTGGCGTGCATCTTTATCCACTCACTCTGCTCTACTGTTAGGGGCCACTGCGGGAGGACGTGGGATTCTGGCACCGACCCTGCAAAGCCCATTTGATGCTTTTATCAGCCCTGGAGTGGAATCCCATGTCTCTCCAGCTTCTCCCTCAAACTCAATACCTGAGCTAATGCACCCTGTGCAACTTGGTGGATCATGCTTTTAAATCAGCAAGGCATTCATTTAAGTAGGAGGGAAAGAGAGGTCTCAAAATGACTCCAGGAGAACCATTCCATGCGCCGGCAGCCTGGAACATCCAGAAGCCAGCTAGAAAGACCGTGCTCAGAAATACTCCTCAGAAAGCCTTGGCTCATCCTAATAGCAATTTTACCTTACTATTATTCCTATTAAGGGATTTTGATGATGTTTGGTTGGAGGTTTTTTGATTTTCCTTTATAAGTTTCCAGGCTCAGTTCAAAAGGACTTGAGCCAAGAAGCTTCAAGCTCAAAACCAATAGCTCAGTCATTTGTCTCGGCATCAAAGGATGTATCAGGGAATGTTTATCTTCTCCCCTTTGAAATTTCCATTCTGCCTACTGTAGTTTTATTCAAACCAAGCATTCTTCTAAAGCAGGATGTAACTACTAGTAGTCATAAACTGGAAGCAAACATTAGGAAACATGCTAAGAAAGGGTTTGACTCCCACCTCTTCACAGGCACACGGGTCAGCTGTGCCCTGTCACCTGCCCTGACTCTTACCCGATTCCTGACCAGGAGGCCCAGCATCACTAAAACTTTCCTTCCTTGCTGGAAATTCTGCCTGAGAAAGAAGGAGACCAAGATTTTGTTATTGCCAAGGAAATCCCAAAGCTTGAGGCAGCCACCACGTCCTGCCTGCCCCTCCATGCTGAGCTCACCCAGCCAACACAAAGCTAACTCAAGAAGAAAAGCTACAGCCTATTCTGTATTTCCTGGCTCCTCAGTGTTCCCTGAGAACAAAGCTGAAAACAAGCAGGAAACTACCAAGCCCTATATAAATAAAGTCAGGGATACGACAGATAAATTTCCTGCTCCTGTTTAAGCATGAATGCTTATCACCTGGGTGCTCAAGGTCATTCCCTCCCTTGAAAGTTGAGCAGGAGGTGCAGCATCCTGGGCACAGCAGCATTGGAGAAACCTGCCCTAAGCAGCATTCACAGCTGGCGTGTCACTGGAGCTGTGGGGGCAAAGCACACATCCCACACTGGATCTAGGTGCAGGGACGACAGTGTTCCCCCAGCTCAGCACATGTGTGCACAAGCAGAGTTCCTTTAGCAGCATAGCCGTGCAAGCAGTGGACACTCAGAGCCTGTTTGGACTGGGAGAAACAAGATGTCTTCTGAGATATGGGAGAGCCACGTGGGAGGGCGAGTGGAATTCAGAGCTGGTTGTATTAAAGCCAGAAAAGCTGAAGAGCTCCAATCTTTGCAGGTTTAATATCTGATCCAACAAACCACCCCAACACGATGTCCACACAGAAACACTGAATACCTTAAATGTACGTTTCTGCTCCTGGAAGGGATCTTGCTGTGTTCACTTCACACGTGGGAAGACTCCAGCATCATTGTGAAAGCAGACGAGGTGAAGTTGGGCATCACACAGTATGGGGGATAGCAGAAGTCTGGGAGGTTCTGTTTTGTCTCCATTTCACCTTCCTGCTGGAAAATTATCCTCCCACAACAGCACTTGGATCCCCACAGGGACAGTCAGCTCAGGACTGTGTTAGGCAAACAGAAACAAGGCAGGTGGTGGAAAAGCCATCAAGGTGGCCAAAGCAGGGCCAAAGAAGGGCACATATGGTAAAGAGCTTAGATCCCAACCCCTGCACGTGTGTGTGACACTCCAGCATTGATGGCCAAGCACCGGAACAAATAACAAGATTACTAAAACATGGGAGTACCAACAGCTGCTACTATTATTGCTGAAAACTCCCACTGTTACCGCTTCCCCTTGTCAGTTCCATTAGAAGCAAAGAGGGAACCGAAGCAGGCATTTCTTTGAAGTCAGAAGCAAAAAGTCCCTAAGAAAAGAACCTACGTCAGGAACCACGGCCTGACCTCCACCCTTCCTAATGGGTCAGCCAAATGCTTTCAGCAAACACCTTCCATCTGCTCCTGCAGCACAGTCGGGATGATGCTCAGGCCACAGACGCTTGGCTGATGAACAGCATGCGACAAAGGTTAGGAACACAAGCAGGATGCAGACGTGCTGAGCCCCAGCAAAGTGGATGCACCTCTAACCCAAGCACAGATGTGGTGATGAGAGGTGGTACAGCAGGGAAGGCGTCAGAGCAGTGACATTAAGGCAGGACTCCAGAGATAGCACGTCGCAATTCGCTCCCCAAAAAAACCAGAATTTGTTGTGCTCCAACCACTGGCAATTCAGTGTCTGAACTAAACTGCTTTCTAAGAGATGAATGCCAGCATTCTGCACACTTATTCCAGCTCTTTTTTGATACCTGTCTTTGAACGCAGGCCCCACCAGTGGCTATTAAGAGCCAGGACAGGTTCAGACAAGAGGCTGAGCTTTCCCTGCACACCCCACAGCTTTCATCTCAGAGCAAGGAGGCAGGAGGTGCTCGGCAATTACAGCAGCCGGGAAGGCAGCGCTCACCTGGCTGCTGTGTAGCTGGTCTCCTCCAAGAGCCTCCTGCATCAAAGTTTCCCTTCCTCCTCCTCCATCAGCAGCGCTGCAGGGACCAGGCAGAGCCTCTCCCCCCTTCCCCACAGCTCTAAATTTGCCTGCTTGCTGAACACGTCTATTCTAGGCAAAGACAGGCGAGATGAGGGAAGCGAAGCGCACGCATCAATCGTGTCGAGAACAACATCAGTGCCAAGTTCTTCCCTGCTATAGCTGCTTCAAAGAACGTGTCTGATGTGGTGCTACTCTAAGCCAAGTAACTTAATTTGTGAAAGAAATTCTCTCCACGGAAAGCAACCAGCTCTCTGAGAACACGGGGAGAAGTAGAAATAGCCCATGTAATGGGGAAAAGAAATATTTAAGACAACACATGAGTCAATGTGATCAAATCTTTAGAGCAAGGGAAGACAAAAGAAAGACCATCTGGGGACACCGATAGCCCCAAGCTGTTCCCAGTCTGAGCTGAGACTTGACAGGGCACAGGCAAGCAGTCCCAAAGCAAACTCTATGCAGGTCTGGGGGAGCTTTGTGGCTCCCAGCTCCAGCTTCAACACGACATCTGTGATACAGCTAATCCTCAGCCTTGGGAGGATTGAGGGCTGACAGCAGGGCTTGTCTCTGCAGCAGAAAAGGGAGGGAGGGTGCTCTGCATATGCTACCCATTCCTAGCAAAGTAAGGAACGAAGGCAGGAGGGATGGGAATGAAGTAACCAGTTTCTGTATGTGTAAAATGACAGTCATCATCTGGAATGGGTTTCCAAAACGTAGGCAGTAACCAGGAAGGGTGTATCAAGTTAACAGAGCCACGGGGTGTCTGATACTCATCAAATCTTATCCCCTGCATATTGAAAAATAAAAACAGTCTCTCTTCTCCTGGGAGCTGTAATCCTCCAGACAGGATTAAACTCTAGCAGTCAATAAGCCACCCTGGCCAGAACAATCCAGCATTTGCTGTGGGATAGCTGAGATCGTATCAGCAGACAACAGTTGTGCTTTGA